TATGAACAGAAAACGCTGCTAACTGGGTCAAGAGAAGCGGCGGTGACGACGACGACGACAACGGCTTTGGCCGAGAGAACAAGTCCAGCGCCAATTTATGTAAATCCAAAACCAATCAGCGGGTCTCTCCAGGCCCCGATCATCATCACCATCATCATTATGTTCGTCATTATGATGGCCTAACGGTTTACACCGTTTTTTGACAAGACCGGCTTAAAACGGCTCTTGCTTGGCCCATAGAAAATCAGAAAAACCATCGAAGAAAAGAAGAGTAGGGAAATTTCTTCGAGGGGGAAAATACCTTGGCTTATCGCAATTGGGCCATCGAGCTGTAGCCTGGCACTTGCACTTTCCGCCCCACAGCGGCTCTCAGCTCTCGTAACATTTGTTAACATTGGTAGTAAGTGCTGGGGATAGACCAGACATTACCTTACCTTACCTTAACTCACCTTTTCTTACCTTACCTTTCTGAGATGCGAAGCAATCGCCGAAGCGTAGGCGCTTAGCAATCAGCGCATGACGTCCCAGAACTGCAATGCACTGCAGAAAAAACCCATCTCTCTTTTCCCCCCTCTGGGGCTAATTTCCACCTGTAATTAGCGGGGTCAAGCTCATCCCTAAATGAGGCCCAAACCCAGTAAACAAATGCAGAGAGAAATGGTAAATTCAGTTGAAACAATGCTTCCAGAGCTTCACAAGACATTTGCGCCTAGGAAAGCCACACCTTAGGGGCAGTCCAGAGATACCACACACCTGTACACATATCCCCTTCCCTTCCCCCTTCCCCCTTCCCCCTTCCTGATACCACACCAGGTGTGGACTTGCATTTAAAATGAAATTAGCCGACATACGCAAATTGCTGACTTTGGTATGGAATGTTGCACGGAGGCGAGGACGGGGGCTAATGCACAGGTTGGGCCTGGGACTTTTAGCCAGCCTTTTGAAATGGAAATGGGAATGGAAATGGGAATGGAGGTAAAGCTAAAGCTAAAGTGGGGGTCACCATTAGCTATACAGAGCAACCAACTTTCTACGTAGCGTTAATGGCAGGGGGAATTGCAGGTTGCAGGTTGCAGGTTGCAAGTTCCAGGCAGCCTTTGCAGATTCAGCTGCGCTTTAATAGAGGCTGCTGTACCTGGTAACTGGTACCTGGTACCTGGTAACTATGTACCTGGCGAAGCGGAAATGCAACCTGCCACAAAATAAGTGTTGAGTTTTACATAATAACATAAAAAATGGGGAAACATGACTAGATTATGATATAGGGTTTTCCTTAACATTTTCATAAACAATTTCCTGAAATTCGATCAAAATAAAAGTATATATTTCTTATAATAATTAATTAATCTTCTTAATACTTGGAGAGATTGATAATAAATAAGATAATGTATATAAAATTCAACCATAGTTAACACTCTTGCAACATACCTTTGCCATAGAAAAGAACTTACAGCTTTCGTTTTATTGTATTTATAATATATTCTTTGCATCTCAATCTCTAATATTTTATTTTTCAATGCAATGAAATGCTTCTCTTGAAGCTCCTTTTTTACCCCAAAAAACAAGACAGAAAATAGTAATAAATAAATATATAAAACAACACTCCGAGTACACATCGTAGGAGAAATAAAAAAGGCCTGGCCAAAAGGCGTTGATGGGTAATTTGTTACAACAACAATGGCGAACGGACCATGTCCGAAACAAGTTGGAAATTATAACGGTTATTATGCTTATAATGATTATTAGATGATTTTAATCCGTGCACACACACACACACTCGCACACACACCGAATATTATTATTATTCCATCTGCTTGTTGTTACAAATCGCTGCCGTTGTTTTGTCAATGCCGCCTTGGCGTGCCTCAGATGTATCTTTCTTTGTGGCATTATTTATGTACGTGGTGTATGGTGTGTGTAGTGTAGTGTATAGTGTACTGTGTGTAGTGTGTGTGTGTGTGTGTGGGGTATCACTTTCACTAAGTTCGCGCACATAGAAAGCAAATGAAAGCAACAAGTTGCTTGTACGCGCAACTACTGCCGTTTGCCTTTGCCTTTGCACTTTTTTTTTATACTTTTCGTTTGTTTAAAACATTGTTTTTTTTGTATACCCTCCCCCCTTGCCTCGTTGTTACTTACCCAGTTTTTTGAGGCATCTCTTTGGGGCACATTGTCATGCATGGCCGGCATGGGCAACCTTTCGGTGCTGCGATCGCATCTTGGTTGCTGTTTTCTTTTGGATTTCAGTTTTTTTCGATTTTCGGTTTCTTTTCGACGCACAGCGTGGGAGTTCGTCATTACTTCTTTTGCCTCTCAGGGTACTCGCTTTGGAAACCGACACTCACACTCAAACACTCAGACACTCGAACACTCGAAAAACTGAAACCGAAACCGAAACTAAAGCGAGACTCTGGGGCCGAAATTGAAAATTTGTTTGCCTCATGAACTTGATTTCTTAATTTGCGTTTTGCCCTGCATGACAAATGACTCGGCTAAAGTAGTTTTTCTTTGCTTTTCTTTGGCATTTTGTTAATTTCAATTTGCCCGAACTAATTTGATTTCCAGCCCGAGAGAATTGTAGTGGCCGAGAGTCTGTTGTTTGGTTTTTTTGCTTATTTTCTTGTGGCATTTGATGAGCAGCAAAACCGTTATGATGAAATTGCTGTGGCATTGTATAAGAAGCATCTGGAAAAATGTATAGCAAGAGACGTGTTTTGCCACCGACTCCTGATCATGGCTGGAAGCTGCTTGGAAAGTTGCACTGGTCAAATGATGTTGCAGTTATTCGACCATTTATGGCATGCCTCACTGACAGCCGAGCCACAGAGAGAGGCAGCCAGTAAGGCCACTAGCCCCTTCTCTAATCATTCCCATTCCCGAGTCCCATTCCGAGCCTCATTCCTCATCGCTGATTATGCAAAATCGCACTTAACAGCTCCGAGCCAAGAACGATTTGAGATACACACACTGGGATAAAAAGTGTGTAGAATCAAGATTGAATTTAAGAAATCCATAAACAAGAGATTGCACTAGAGTTAAGAATTGCATATAATATCATGCTATAGTCGTATCAGCAATGTTCCATGTTTTATATAATTGCATCTACAAAAAGTTGTAAGTTGTTGAAAGTTTTTAACTTATCAGTTATCAGTTAGCAGTTTGTAGCTTAAATAATATTTCATTTAATATTCAACAACCTCTAATAGTAAGCTAGAATATTGTTAATGTTGTGAAATGATTTCTTCCTCTTCTAGTTGCTTTTCTTTGCCCAACTCCCTGAATTTTCCCTCTGTGCATCCCCATTGGCTCTTGGGGATGTATCAAACTCATGACATTGGCCAGTCTGGGCCTGGGAACTGATCAATTGAATAACTAATCATTCGAAGCTGCCACAGCGGCAGCAACACATTTGATTATTGCACACGGCTGGCACTCGCATTTTTGCATAGATACATAGATACAAAGATATGTATATAGAGATACAAAGATACAAAGATACAAGCGGCAACTAAATTGATGGCTGTTTCCATCTGTTTTTTTTTTTTGCTTCTATTTTTATTTTTTCTGCTCGCTGCTTGTGTTGTTGTGGCGATTTTCTCACGCTTTGCATTGACAACAGCAAGAGCTCAGACATAACAACCAAAGTCGAGAGAACATTTTGCAATCTGACGGCGGAATGCCAGAGATTTTTCACCAGGCGTCGTCGTTGTCGATTGGCCAAACTGGAACGGAACTGGCTTAATTGTCAATCAAATGCTTCGAACACACAACAAACCCCCAGACAAGGCAGAGTCAATGAGAAATAATGGCAAAAAGCAGTCCATTTTGCAGGATTTTTGCTTTCATAATTCAAATAAATCCAAGGTGGACTTAAGCTTGAATATTGTATTATTGAATTATTCCAAAAAGCTTACTTACCTTTAAGTACCTTGCAGGGATTTATTAATCTAGTAAAAACTAATATAGGACAGCATTCCAAATTTAAATTAATGCATTTTTGGCTTAGTTATGAGATTTTCAAACCTTGATTGGTCGATAAAATGTTCATATAAAACTATTGATAAATATTTGTATTAATCTTTTAATCAGGAGCTTAAAAAATATGGAAGGAGTCATTTCCGACCCTATAAATCATATATATTCTGGATCAGCATGAAAAACTAAGTCGATCTAGCCATTTCCGACAAAAATTTAATTTTTGAAAAATTTTCGCAATTTTTAAGGGGTAAAAATGTGAAAATTAAATATTGAAAAATTGATAAAATTTCGAATTTCATAAAATTCTAAATTGATTATGCAGATTTATTAATGTGGTTATAACTAACATGGAAAAGCTTTCCGAATTAAAATTAATGCATATTTGGCTAAGTTGTGGGTTTTTTAATTTTTAATATATCGATAAAATTGTCATATAAATATATAGATAAATATCGAGTCAAAAATGGTATTACAATTTCAGTCAGAAGCTAAAAAAATATAGAAGGAGTCATTTCCGACCATATAAATCATATATATTCTTGATCAGCATGAAAAACTGAGTCGATCTAGCTATCTTCGATAAAAATTTAATTTTAAAAAAAATTTCGCATTTTTATAAGGGTTAAAATTATGGAAATTGAATCTTGAAAATTTCATAAAAATTTAAATTGCATAAAATTCCAAATTTAGTATGCAGATTTCTTAATCTGGTAAAAACTAGTACAGAACAGCTTTCCGAATTAAAATTAATGCATTTTTGGCTTAGTTGTGAGTTTTCTAAGCTTTGATTTGTGGTATAAAAATATCCATAGATGTGGATTCAAAGAAACCTAAAATGTACTAAATCTTGTAATTGAAATAAACAAAATTGCATATAATAAATACCTTAGGATGCATCCCCATGGGGATATATAATAAATTAATAAAGCAGCGATCATTTCCCTTATAATTACTTGGAAAACATGAGCTAATTTCTCCAATCTCTTTTCCCACCTTCTTCTCCTCCTTCTTCTCCGCTCCAGATGCGGGATGCAGCTTCCCGGGTTCTCCGGCGCACAGCAGCGTGGTCTTCTCCAGCGCGAATCTCACTCAGGGAACGGTGGCCTCCTACAGCTGTGAGCGTGGCTTTGAGCTGCTGGGACCGGCGCGGCGCGTTTGCGACAAGGGACAGTGGGTGCCCGAGGGCATTCCCTTCTGCGGTAAGCAAAAACCAAAAAAAAAGAAAAGTAAATTAGAAAACACCCAAAAAACCCACAGTACACCAATACATACACGCACCAAATACACCAGTACTCCAATACACCAATACGCTAAGACCAACAAACGAAAGTCTGCGCACACGAACTTGCTGTTCGTCAACTCAATTAGCGCCTTGGACTCGGACTTGGATTCGGACTTTGTTAGTGGGGGGAAGGGGAAAAGGGGGGACAACTTTCACCGCCACAAAATTTGAAGCGTTCTCAAAATATCTTTACATTGAAATTAAAAATGACCAAGTTAGGAAAGAAACAAGAAAGGAAGCTAACTTCGGCATGCCCTTGTAGATACAAATTTAATCAGTAGGAATTAATACAATATAAATTAGATATATATTTATGCTTAAAAACAATAAAGTAATGCCTGTACACGTAAACATTTTATATAAACAGTTTTACATTCATCGTTTTACATTTTCCTCTATTTTTAACGATAGTTTGTATGACAGCTATATGATATAGTAGCCCGATTTTCATACAATTTTACGCAAAATTCTAGATTTATATACGGTGGCCATATATAAAATTTGATGAAAATCTGTTGAAAACTGGAAAAGTTATAAATAAGTTATGATTTTTTTCTTACAATTTTCCGATAGTTCCTATGGCAGCTATATATATGTATATATATAGTCCACCGATTCGCCATGGCCTGACTTATATACTAGTAAAATTATATAGAAGAATAACCCCATAGTTTCATTGAAATAGCTTGCTCTTAAATTGGTTCAAAACAAATCTCGCACATGTTTATGATTCCCAACTGGTTCAAACATCCCCGGAACGAAGTGACTGCTGCCGGCCAAGTATCAGAAATGTGTTGTGTTACAAAAGTTGCAAGTCATTGTTTACAAGTGTTCAAATTTAGTGAGTGATCGTACATACATACATACTTACTGGTCATAGATGCTTACTGATCATAGATGCTTACTGATCATAGTTACTTACTAGTCAGAGATATTAACTGGTCATAGATACTTAGTGTTCAGAGTTAATTACTCCTCAGAGTTACTTACTGATCATAGTTACTTGCTGGTCATAGATACTTACTGTTCAGAGGTACTTACTGCTCATAGTTTATTAATGTTCAGAGTTACTAAATGACCAAAGTTCTATAAATCGTCCGATTGTTCCTATGGCAGCATATATACGTATATATAAAGTCCACCGATCCGCCATGCTCCGACTTATATACTAGTAAATTTATATAGAAGAATAACTCCATAGTTTCATTGAAATAGCTTTATTCAAATTTGTTCCAAAACAAATCTCTCACATATTTATGATTCCCAACTGGTTCTAACCTCCCCGGAACGAAGTGACTGCTGCCGGCCGAGTATCAGAAATGTGTTGTGTTACAAAAGTTGCAAGTCATTGTTTATAAGTGTTCAAAGTTAGTAACTGATCATACATACATACATACTTACTGGTCATAGATACTTACTGATCATAGTTACTTACTAGTCAGAGATATTAACTGGTCATAGATACTTAATGTTCATTGATGCTTACTGATCATAGTTACTTAGTGTTCAGAGTTACTTACTGCTCATAGTTACTTGCTGGTAATAGATACTTACCGTTCAGAGCTTGTTCTTTGTTGTTCTTTGATACTTACTTATCATTGTTACTTAATGTTTTTTGATACTTACTGATCAAGCCTTTATATTTAAATTCAACCAGAAACACTTTTAAAAACTCTCCCCCAATTTTTCTAAGTGCACAAACTTCACGTTCTCTGTGCAAAAAAACAAAAAACAAAGAAATAAGTAAACAAACATAGGAAGAAAAAGAGCAAATGGCATTCCGATTGAATGCAAAGTTGTTAACCGAAAAGCGAAACATGATTAACAAAACGCGCGAAATTGGGCTAAAAGCGATGCGTGTTCCGAGTAGAAAGAGATAGAAAGAGAGAGAGAGAGAGAGACAGAGAGAGAGAGAGAGAGACAGAGAAGAAAGAGGAAAGAGAGAAGAAAGAGGTGGCCATGAGGTGGGAAGAATTCAGCTCCACCAAATTGACCCACTTTGTTCACAGCTCAAAAAAAAAAACAAAAAATAAAGAAATAAAAAAAAAGAGTAAAAACCAGTCGAGCACGAAAACAAATAAATGAATTTTTAATCAATTTCCAACGAGACATGCACTTCCGTGAAATAAGGGAATTGATTGACACAAAGAGAGCAGCTGGAAAGGGATTCCAATAGTGAATCCATGAATGAATGTTCGAATGAATAAACCGATGGCTTGGAAAGGCTCAGAAAGGGGCGGCAATTCGACGATCCATCAAACCTTCTGACAGGCCCCATTTCTTTATAGAAAATATATTAATAACAAAAAGATCAAGATAAAGACATTCGATCCACACAGTAGTAGGTGTTAATAAGCATGCATAATGCCATGGGAACTCTCAAGGGGAAACTAGCAGAATTTATTTGAATTTTAAAGGAATTTCAAGTTAAGAACTAGAAATTTTAGTACCTCCATTTAAAGAATAATAGCTTAAGAAAAAGTACTCTTCCGATGAAAATAATTATATCTAAATTATCAACTCTATTCATTTATAATCATTTTTAAAGAGATGAAGCACTCCCCCAACCCAAACCCAAACCTTATTCGATCTCAATGTTGAAGTTTATAGACCAAAAATCAAGCGTTTTGTTTTCGTTGATTGCACTCGTTGATGACGCGAGAAAAGAAAAGGAAAACAGGAAAACAAAAGCTAAGAGTTGAAAGACGAAAGCTGAAAGCAATTTCCGACCTGAAAATTGCTTTGGAATTCGACTTTAAATTCGAACATGACACAGCGGGCATCGGCAGACATCTGGCAATGGGAAATTAATTAAAAGCAATTAAAAGGCATTTGTCACACCGCCACACACCTGCTGGGCTTAGATGCAAGATACAAGATACAAGATATATACTATATAGTGTATGAGTGCTCGAGAAAGCCAAGCTTCCACTGACTCCGAAAACCGAACTTAAAACTCTCGGCATATCTTATCCGACAGATGCATCTGATTAATGAATCCCCAATGCCGCAAAAGTGCGTGGCGAGCGATGTAATTAAGCGCCGGCAAGTAAAAGTTGAGCCGCGTGGAGCCGCCATTAAATTTCACTTTTGCTTTTGGCCACACTCTGGCTCCACTGACTCTGGGCCTCACTTTTGGCCAAAAAAGAAAAAAACAAAGAGTCTTGGTCGAAACAATGGCCAGAACGAAGGCCTCTTGACAAATTCGCCAGGCCAGAACATCATCTTGACTTGGCTTGTCTCGGTTTTGCCTGCTTTTGGCCACAAAACCGTGTCAGGGCCCGAAGCCAATTAGCCGGGCCTTGGGCCCAGCTTGGGAACTCTGGCCCCCTGGCTGTCCAAGCCACGATTCAAGCTGCATCTTGCTTTCAATTCCCAAATAATTACCTATGACCCCTATTTTCTACACTGAGAAATTTGTATTACTTTAAACACACTCTTTTTACGTGTTGCAATAATGAATCTTTGTTTGTTTTTCAGTTTTAAATGTGGCCGCTGGCAAGGCTCCGATGCAAATCTCCACGGAGGGAGCTGGAGCTCCTCAGAAGGCCATCGATGGATCCACCTCCGCCTTCTTCACCCCGGAGACCTGCTCCCTGACCAAGGCAGAGCGTTCTCCCTGGTGGTATGTCAACCTCCTGGAGCCCTACATGGTCCAGTTGGTGCGCCTGGATTTCGGCAAGTCCTGTTGTGGTGAGTGAACCTTATTGGTAATAAGATTATTAGGAGTAGAATATAATAATTACAATATATAGAAGGTTCCGTGGAAGTTTGAATTACCCCCTATACTAAAAGCGAGAGTAACCGCAATTACTTAATATCGGAAAGCCTAAACCATAATTATTCTGAGACCAGAAATTCCTGCCTGTTTGTGGCCAAGAGTCTTTTTGGGGCCCCTAAAGTGGCGCTTAGCGAAAGACAACGACGACGACGACGACGAAGCCAGGCAAATTGATTAAAATTGCGAAACTTTTCGCTTTTATTAAACCGCAGTGCCCCGGGCCCAACCCTAAACCTGTCGCGCTCACATGCTGGATATTGGATGGTGGATAGTGGATAGTGGATAGTCCATGGTCCATGGTCCATGGTGGATGCTGGGGGCCGGATTATGGACCTGCTTGGACCGCATTCTCTGGGAGGAAACTCTCTCGCCATTCGATGGACAGTTCAATGCCCCGTTTTCCCAGGCTGCCCAACCACCAGGCAGTTTTCAATTTTCCAAATGTTTGTCTGGCAAAATGGCAAATGCTGCACGAGCAGCCCAGCCAAGGCTGGCTTAAAGAAGAAAAATGGCAGAAAAAAAGGGTTGCCGAAATGCAGAGTAAACAACTGCCAGCCAGTTTTCCCTAATGCTTTCACTTGCCAGCAACCTGAAGTCCCCCAACTCCGACTTTGACTCCGACTTCGACTCCATCTCCTCCTCGATCGAGGCGGCTTGTTATGTGATTTTCGTGTGGCTTTTGCGACGACAGCCAAGACAAAGACGAAGACTTCGACTTGGACTTGGACTTCCACTTCGACTGAAGAGACCAAAATAAAAATATATATATACATATAAGAAAAAACCCCAGACCTAGTGAGTCAGTCAGTGCGGGCCGAAAATTTATGATTACTTTCACTTGGATGAGGCTGGTGTTGAAGCTGAAACTGAGGCTGAACCCGCCTGACCCGCTGACAGACAAAGCCATAACCATAATAATGACAACGACAGTGGGAATACCAATAGAAATAGCTGCAGACCAAGTGCAGCACTTGTACACTGTGAGAAACCAAGGCGAGTGAGAAGGGAAAACTAACCAGAAAGACTAAACCAGAGAGCTCATCAGTACCTTAGAGCATATCAATAATAATCAATGCTTCGGCTCAGCTTAATTTAGTTTAGATTTAAGATACAATTCCAAGTTAAAAAGGTTAATCTTTGAACCCCATCTTCCTTAGGAAACAAACCTGCCACCATAGTGGTTCGCGTGGGCAACAACCGTCCCGATCTGGGCACAAATCCTATATGCAATCGCTTCACCGGACTCCTGGAGGCCGGCCAGCCCCTGTTCCTGCCCTGCAATCCACCCATGCCAGGTGCCTTTGTGTCGGTGCACTTGGAGAACAGCACACCGAACCCGCTGTCCATTTGCGAGGCCTTCGTGTACACGGACCAGGCGTTGCCCATTGAGCGTTGTCCCACGTTCCGGGATCAGCCGCCGGGGGCCCTGGCCTCTTACAATGGCAAGTGCTACATCTTCTACAACCGCCAGCCCCTGAACTTCCTGGACGCGCTCTCCTTCTGCCGCTCGCGGGGCGGCACTCTGATCAGCGAGAGCAACCCGGCGCTGCAGGGCTTCATCAGCTGGGAGCTGTGGCGACGCCACCGGAGCGATGTCAGCTCCCAGTACTGGATGGGAGCGGTGCGGGACGGCAGCGATCGCAGCAGCTGGAAGTGGGTCAACGGGGACGAGCTCACGGTGTCCTTCTGGAGCCATCCTGGCGGCGACGAGGACTGTGCGCGCTTCGACGGCTCCAAGGGCTGGCTGTGGAGCGACACCAACTGCAACACGCTGCTGAACTTCATCTGCCAGCATCAGCCGAAGACCTGTGGCCGGCCGGAGCAGCCGCCCAACTCCACGATGGTGGCCCTGAATGGGTTCGAGGTGGGTGCCCAGATCAAGTACAGCTGCGATGCGAACCACCTGCTGGTGGGTCCCGCCACGCGCACCTGCCTGGAGACGGGCTTCTACAACGAGTTTCCCCCAGTGTGCAAATGTGAGTAGAGAAGTTGTTGCATTTCTTATTACGATTATTAATTTCATTTGTTATCTTGAGCAGACATCGAGTGTGGCCTTCCGGCCAGCATTGCCCATGGATCATACGCCCTGTTGAACAACACCGTCGGCTACCTGAGCCTCGTCAAGTACTCCTGCGAGGAGGGATACGAGATGATTGGACGTGCCTTGCTCACCTGTGACTTTGACGAGCGCTGGAACGGACCGCCGCCGCGCTGCGAGAGTGAGTTGAAGCCAGGATAAAGGATAGTGGGATTATATTGGATCGATATAGATTTATAGAGTAAAATGTACAGATGCAAAACTAGCACAGAACCTTTCAAAGCTTTCAAAATTGAAATTTGAAGCATTTTAAGCTTAGTTATGCCTTATTTTATCATTGATCTTAACTTCATTTAGCTAAGTTGAATTTAGTTATCAACTGTTGCTGCTATCTTAACTTATCCCTATCCCAGAGATCTATCTTTTTATAGATTTTGTTTCGAATTATTTATTTTACATATTATATGAACTTTCTGTTCATTTTCAACCTAAATTTCCTCCCAATAATTAATTAATATTATCATAAATTGATTCTTTAAGTACAAGTATATTTTGCTATCTAATTTTTCCTTAATTTTTCTCCCTCAGTTGTGGAATGCGACACCCTGCCGGGCAATTACTACAATACCATCATCCATGCACCGAACGGCACCTACTACGGCTCCAAGGCGGAGGTCAGCTGTCCGCCCGGATATCGCATGGAGGGACCCCGAGTGCTCAGCTGCTTGGCCAGTGGTCAGTGGAGCAGCGCTCTGCCGCGTTGCATCAAGCTGGAGCCATCCACGCAGCCCACAGCGGCGCCCACGGTGCCCTCATCGGTGGCCACGCCGCCTCCCTTCCGGCCCAAGGTCGTGGTGTCCAGCTCCAGCTCCAGCTCCACCACCAACCGCACACCGTACCGACCCGTTGTGTCCACAGCCAGCAGCGGCGGCAGCAGCAGCTCCAGCTCCACGGTGGGCACATACCCGAGCCTCCGGCCCACGCAGGTGGAGATCAACGGAGAGTGTGAGTAGACCAAGAGATGCGAGGAGCTTGGAGAACCAGAACCACTTACCTTATCCTTCCTTTTATCCTTCCTTTAGCCGAATCCGAGGAGGATATCATCAATGTGCCCGTGCCTGGCACCGTTCGCGAGGAGTTCCCGCCACGGCGCACCGTCCGACCCGTGCTCATTCCGAAGAAACCGAGCAGCAGCACACCCGCGGCGGCTGCAGTGCCACCGACCACGCAGCACGTGCCCCAGCCGCCGCAGGTTCCCTCCACCTATGCCCCATCCCCGCCGCGCAGTCGTCCCAGCGGTGCTCCGGTGGAGACGACCACCCGGAACACTCAGCAGATCATTGCCAACTCGCATCCGCAGGACAATGAGATCCCCGACAGCGTCAACATCCAGCAGAACCAATCCCCGAATGTCAATGTGCCGTTTGCCGTCGACAATCCCGATCGCAAGGAGACCAAGGAGGCCAAGCTCAATCTGGGCGCCATTGTGGCTCTGGGTGCTTTCGGTGGCTTCGTTTTCCTGGCCGCCGTCATCACCACGATCGTGATCCTCGTGCGAAGGTGAGTCCTGGCTCAGAGCTGTCTACAAATATCCTGGGGATCTGTGATCAGTCGAGGTCGTCGATTTTGTTGTCCATTTTCAAATATTTCAATGATTTCTTTATCGATTCTAGCATTTGATTTTCAAATTGGGTAACACATTTTATCGATAAATTGATTTGATTTTGCCGTATTTGAAATTATTATTGTGGGGTCTTTAAAATTGTATCTCTGATTTAACATACAACATTTTTCAGTTTAATCAAATTTAGTTAATTTTTCAAATTTGAAAATTCAAATTAATTCGAGAACAATTGACATTGAAATGTTGATTATTGATCGATAACATTCGATAACTTATCGATAAACTTTACGTTTAATATGCTTGAAAACTGGATTGGACCATGATTGATACGTTTTTTGTCTGTGTGTAGAGCAAAGTCGATCGTTGTCGGGTTGTCACACCACCACCCCCCCATTCTCTCTTAGAGTTCCTGTCCCCCTCTCTCAAGCTCTCTTTCCCCCACACACACACACACACCTCTCTCAGGTCTCTCTCTGTGCTCCTCTCATTTATCTCGCTCTCGGTTACCCCTCGCTTTCTCTCTCTCATATTCACTTAAGCTCGATCAAAGAGAGTCTCTCTGGCACACGCACACGCACACACCCACTTGAACATCAAACGCTTTCTCTTTTTCTCTCGTTGTACAACTCTCTTTTTTCGTTTTTGCTTCTCCCACTCTCTGTACTTTTTGGCAAAACCAAAACCGTCAGCACCCCGAACAGCCAACGGCGGCACCTAGCCAAACACTTAACTGCTTACCAACATCATCATGCTCATCATCACCACCACCAGCAGCTCCACCAGCACCAGTACCAGCCACAGTACCAGCCACAGCAACAGCACCACCACCAGTGCCAGCTCCAGGTCCAGTCCCACCAGCACCAGCTCCAGCTCCAACAGCAAAAGTACCACCACAGCCAGCAAAAGTGCCACCAGCACAGCCAGGCGAAGGGATCACAGGGGATCAGCCTCGGCCTTGGGCTCGGTCTCGGTCTCGGGTTCGGGAAGAGGACTGGCGGCGGCATTCCGCGTCCCAGCCGACTGCCCAGCTATGCCACGGCGACGGCCACCAGCGCCACCAGCTACGCGTCCACAGCCCAACTGACCAGCACCAAGGGCGGCTACGGTAGCATCACCTCCAGGCGTGATCCCGATACGGACCAGGAACGGGATCCCACCTCCCTGTGGTACAGTGTGCTGGCGCTGCCCTTCGATGACCAGAAGCTGGGCAGGCGGGAGTTTAGCAGCTACGGACGAGGGTATCGGGCCCGGGCCGGGCTCTTTAGCAGCTCAACGACCACGACGCACATGTAACCCACGGATGGCATGGGAATGGGCAGGAGCAGGAGCAGGAGCAGGAGATAACCACCAAAGAAGAATAGACAGAGGAGAGCCAAAAACACAACCTGGAGACTACCTGGCCAAGATACCATAACGAGTGCCAAAGAGATGCATCAACGAACCCAAAAAAAAGAAAGAAAACGAAAGGAAAAGTTAAGAAAATTAAGGAAACCGAAGAAAAACCAAAAGGACTCTAGAAAAACTAAGAAGAATCAAGAGCGATTAGATGAAAATGAAAAGAAAAGCACAAGAAACTCCAAAACAAGTTCCAAGGAGAAGCGAAAAAAGAACCAGCGAGTTAAGCAAGTCAATCGATCAATCAATCAGCCAGTCAATCAGCTGAGAACTATCAAAGCGGCCATAAATATGCACAAAATGTAAGCAGCCCAAGAACACAACCAAGAACAACACCACACCAAACAATCAATCAATCAGTCAGTCAATCAAACCAAACAATCAACACTGAAACACTGAAAAAAAAAACAAAACAAAACAAAATACTGCTGCGAATGCTGTGGGCTGTGAGGCGATTCCTACTCCTGGCTGTTGCACCTTCAACCCATCAAACCATCAACTCAATCACACACCCATCAATCATTTCACACACACTTTGTGGGGACTCTCTCTTTCGCTCTCTCTCATACTCCACGCCTGGTTCGCTCGCTCTGTCTCTGTCTCTGTCTTCTGTAGTCTGCCTGCCTGTCTCTTTCCCACCTCTATATCTACATATGTATATCTGTCTCTGTCTCATCCCACTCTCTGTGTGTGCGTAGTGCCTAACCCCCCCATTTATCTGTTGCCTGAACTTTGTGACTAACCCCAAACACTCCTTCGTCCTGGCATTCAGAAAGATATATAGAAGAATATATATAAAGAAGCTCACTAATTATCAAATCAATATATCTGTCTCACTTTCTCTGCAGGAATCGAACCACTCAACACTATCGCCATCGCGCCTCGCCCGACTGCAACACCGTGGCCAGCTTCGACAGTTCCACTTCCGGATCCCGGAACGGACTCAACAGGTGAGCACAACTCCCTCAATTTAAAACAAGAAAGTTCCCTTTCTTCGGGGAAGCCGGGGAAGTTTATATGTATACTGAATTAAAGGACGGAAACGGGAATCGATTGTAGTTAAGCTTAAAATGATCGCATTCCTTAAATCCGTATTTATCGATATTTGTGTGTGACCATTTTTTTTTTCTTCCAACAATCATAACCTAAACAAGAAAGGAAGCTAACTTCGGCACGCCGAAGTTTATATACCCTTGCAGGTAGAACTTCTATGAATAGGAATCCATACAATATAAATTATATATATTTGTGTTAAAAAACAATGAAGTAATACCTGCTTTCATTTCATTCACCTATACATATTATATTTGCAGTTTTACATTCACAGATTCTCATTTTTCCTCTACATCAAACGATCGTGTGTATGGCACCTATATGATATAGTCGTCCGATTTTTACGGAATTTGCCACAAAATTTAAGACTTATATAAAATGGCTGTACCTCAAATTTGATGAAAATCAGCTGAAAACTAAAAAAGTTATAAATTTAATTGTATTAATTTCTCGATCGTTCCTATGGGAGCTATATGATATATTAGTCCGATTTTCATAAAATTTTACACAAAATTGTAGAATAATATGAAACGGCTATATCTCAAATTTGATGAAAATCTGTTGAAAACTGAAAATGTTCTACTTATTAATTGAATTAATTTCTCGATCGTTCCTATGGGAGCTATATGATATAGTCGTCCGATTTTCATAAAATTTTACACAAAATTGTAGAATAATATGAAATGGCTATATCTCAAATTTGATCAAATTCTGTTGAAAACTAAAAATTTTATAATTTTTTTTGTAAAACTTTTCCGATCATTCCTATGACAGCTATATGATATAGTCGTCCGATCCGGCCCGTTCCGACATATATACGAGTGAGAGTATATAGAAGACTAACTGCAAAGTTTCATTCAGATAGCTTCAAAACTGAGAGACTAGTTTGCGTAGAAACGGACAGACGGACAGACGGACAGACGGACAGACGGACAGACGGACAGACGGACAGACGGACAGACGGACATGGCTAGATCGACTCGGCTGTTGATCCTGATCAAGAATATATATACTTTATATAGTCGGAGGTGCCTCCTTCACTGCGTTGCAAACTTCTGACTGAAATTATAATACCCTGCAAGGGTATAAAAAGTCATTATATCTTGCCATCTCCTCCTTGTGTCAAATAAAAAGTCTGGCTGCCAAACTCTGCTCCCAATAATTTTCACTATAATTCCATTCGTCGAACCAGCAACACCTTCAGTAAATATTTCTAAAATTTTTGCATCCCAATTTTGCAAATTTCACCAAACTTCCAGAAAGTTCACGAGGTGTGTTTGTTGTAATTGTAATACATATATATTTGGGTTATATATAATACCCTGTATACCCCTATATAGGCTGAGCAGATACCAGAATCTTCGCCCTCGATCAAGGGAGCATACTCCTAGGGGGGCACACACGCTGAGGAACAAGGTTTTCGCCTCGTCCGACTCCTTGAGGGATGCACTGCATCTAGACGTGAATCGCTTTCGGTGACAACAGCACACCTACCAGATCCATTGGCTTTCGTGAGAGGTGCTGCCGTACAACCCGAATCGTCCGATGTATATGCAAGTATTGCCCGAAAATTAATGCCGGTTTTCCGACATTATTTGCATATGCATCGGACGACTTGGGTCGTATGGACAGCACCCTTCACGCAAGCCAATGGATTCGGCACGGTCGTCGTCGTGGTTGGACAGCTCTTCCGCCTGGCTGTTGCTCCAGTCAATGCTGCTACCCTGGAGGCTGCTACCCTGGAGGCTGCTACCCTGGAGGCTGCACTCCGCGTCCATGAAGCGACCTTGACTCGCTAACAATTGACGAGAGCTTTTGCTGCAGCCGGTATTAACAACTAGGATTTGGAAACGAATAAGAAAACCCAGGCACTGGAGCTTCTATTTATACGAAAATCGATTGGAAAAAGTGACGGTCACGTTTTGGCAAGGTTGTCCAATGCAGCGGAGAAATATCAAGTCTTCGGCTTAACCTCGAATTTTTATTTAACAATTAAGAATTGAAGATGCATTGTTTTGAGAAAAATAGAGGTGTTTTATGCGACTGAATCGATGTGTTTAGTACCGTAGAAAGATTGGGAACTGGGATAAGCTACACTTGGTTTGGCAAACAAAAATGTGTGTGTCTCTCCTTCATGTCTAGAAAGATTTGCCTGTTGAGGCTGATCAAGAATATATATATTATTTATGGGGACTAAAATGACTTTCTCACTTTTTTGCATGCATGTTTTGACATAAAATCAACTTATTTATTGTGTTATTTATTTATTGTAGGTACTACCGCCAGGCCTGGGAGAACCTGCACGAGTCCGCCTCGAAGAACAGCTCGCACAATGCCCTGCGTCGCAAGGAGACCCTCGATCCGCCGAGCATGACCCGTTCCCGCGACAATCTGCGCGACAATATGCAGCGTTCCCGCGAGAATCTCGACAGGTGAGAGCCCGCATCAAGGAAAAGCATTCCGATTATTTACTATTTATTTATCTCCTCGAACAGATGCGGCCGGGACAACTACGGCATGCGGGATGACTCCGAAATGGTGGTCTCCGACGTGTGTCTGAAGGGCGAGAAGAAGCGTCACCATCACCATCACCACAAGAGCAGCTCCCGCAACGGCGACTATCGCGATCAGTCCTCCGGCAGACGCGAACACCACCGGCATAGTGGCGGCGGCGGCGGCGGCGGTGGTGGAGGTGGTGGCGGCCACTATTGACCAACCATGGTCATCACCATCAATGTGGAGCGGCAGTAGCCAAAAACAAAACAAAACAAATCGACGAGGATGAGGATGAGGATGAGGATAAGGAGAAGTCGGAGTAGGAAGTCGGATTTGGAATACAAAATCTGAGAGCTGCAGCAGCGAGCGCAACAACGAAACGTTTTTTGTTTAATTTTAGCAACAGTTTTTTTTCGCGCTTTAGTTATGTAAGAATGAGAAGAAGCCAGGATCTGGATCAGGATCCACGGTGGCTAATGAGGAGGAGACTTTTCTGTTCATAGCGAAAACATGGAGCAAGAGGTCCTTGGTCCTTTAACTTGCAAGTCAATACTTAGCTATATTCAAGAGGGAGAGTTCTGAGAGATCTGGAGATTTGCAAGCTATGAGAGATTTCCTCGGAGCATCGATTCCAGTCCCCAGATTCTCGCGGAAACCCCCAGAAATGATATGTTTATCGTGCGTGCTTAACACTCGACCCGTATAATTTATTCGCAAAGCTTTCGTAAGGTTCTTAGTTAAATTTTCTCTATGAATTAGTTTTATGTAAAGAGAGAGTGAACAGGTCCGAAACAAAACAAAACAAAAGAAAAAAAACAGGAAAATAGAAAGGCGAGGCGTAGTAATTAGTTGCAAAGCACCAGCACACCACGCACACACCTCGAACATCCCCAATCCCTTCAACGCTCACCGCACACGTTCCCCCGTCTTCACCCCCAGCAAGCAGGATCACAGCTGCAGCCAAATTATGTGCAACTTGGTTTCGTTTGAGGTCTCAAGCCAAATCGACTTGCTCATAGTCGCAAATTAGTTACGTAAACCCCTACACACTAGATACAATCGAACGAAGCCTCCACCCAAAAGTCCAGAGGAAGTCGAAAGCGAAAGCGAAATCGAAATCGAATCAATCCATTCCATTCCACTTCTATCAGTAACCATTATGTTTGTATCCCACTATCATTATTACATTATATGTGTATCGCCCTGTATTTGTATTTCTAGAGCCTTGTAATATTTAGATTTTGTTTTCAAGTGTGTATCGCCAGGGGCCGCCCGGGCATGCAATATTATTTGAATTTCGTGCATTATTTCCAATGTAAATAATAATAATTTATTTCATAAATAAAACAATGAATATTTTTACTAAACAATGAGCATATAGCTTATTGATGATATTATAATAACCTGCAAGAGCATCCAAATAATTCGAATTTGAATTGGCCGGCAATTAGATTACCGCCTGAACGTGAATTATCGATAATTCAGTATTTTTTGCAGTAACCGGAAACAGATGTTTACTTGGCCACTGTAATTTTAAATATCGATTATTTAGTAGTTTTTACTTAACAGCTGTTAAACAATACGATCTGTTAACTATCGATAATTTTTGTATATTCCTTCTGAAGTAAATAATACCGAATTCTATCCCATGTATCTGTAAATGTGTAAAATTGTTTATAGACGTGTAAGATGTAAAATGTTAAATAACAGACTCGGATTTCAGAGTGACCAAACAAAAACTATCGCAACATCTATATTTGGGTACTCCAAATATCGATATATCAACGACAAAATGTTAAATAACAGCTTCGGAATTCAGAGTGACCACAAACAAAATATAAATAAAAGCAAGAAGTATATATTGATATTTTTATATATTTTCAGCAACCAATAATGACCCGACAGCCAACGAGAGAAAATTCTGTTAATTTACATCCACGCGACAGCCAATGGAAGGGAATTCTGTTAATGAGATCAGGTATGTAAATGTATTTTACTTCCCACATAAAATTTTACTTCTTACATGAGAATTCTAACCCAAGAGTGAGAGTGTTACTCCATGTATCTGTAAACGTGTAAAATTGTTCTGCACACCTGTAAAATGTAGAGTGTTAAGCAACAGCTTCGATTTCAGAGTGACCAAACAATAAATATCTCAAAAATCACTTTAGCCGTGTTCAACACCTCTCGACGAGGGATGCAAAAACATCGATAGTGAATACATCGATATACCGCCGCCATCGATACTATCGATAGTGACATCGATGTTTTTGCATCTCTATTTCAATCCCACTCCCAACTCTATTTCCGCTCTTTCTTTTTTGCACCGTTCGCCACTCAACATGGTAAAGAAAATCCTCGTTCGCCAAAATAAAATCGCTCTGAATCCCGGCCATCCGTGACAATTTCGTGATTACAATGTGATAACTATGGAGTACTTGCGATGCGGATTACGAATTAAATGGAATTTCACGAGTGGCTTGGCCGCCAGTGGCGGGAATTGGAGTGTTTATATTATTATTGGCTGCTGCATTAATGAAAAGTGATTCTAATTGGTTTGTTTTGTTGTGTGTCCGCCCCTACAGACGAAGGGTACATCCAGCTTTGGTAAACGCCACAACAAGACGCACACCCTGTGCCGTCGCTGTGGCCGCAGCTCCTACCACATCCAGAAGTCGACGTGCGCCCAGTGCGGCTACCCCGCCGCCAAGTTGCGTTCCTGTGAGTATCTCTTGCTCCCCATATGTGTCATGTATGTGCTAATTAATGTTTTCGCTCGACAGACAACTGGTCGGTGAAGGCCAAGAGGAGGAAGACCACCGGCACCGGTCGCATGCGCCACCTGAAGGTTGTGCGCCGTCGCTTCCGCAACGGATTCCGCGAGGGAACCCAGGCCAAGCCCAAGAAGGCCGTCCAGGCCGGCAAATAGGCAGGGATGCTTCTCCTTCGTCACCCACAACATAAATTAGCTGATAAATCTTCAGAAATGGCAGCCGGCAGAGCCGAAAAGCCCCAACAACCAACTGTCGCCGCCGGCAAGCTAATAAAAGATCGAGGATAATAAATGTTCGTTTTTTTTTAACTAAGTGAATACTGGTGACTATTTTTTTATGTTTGTGTGAAAGAAAAGTGAATGAAATGTGAAGAAAACCCACGAAAAGCAGGCGCTGATCCGCAAAAATGCTTCAATACAACAGTTATGATCCTAACCTCGAGGGAGCGGCCATGTTTCCAGTGCTTATTCCGCGGTAAGCATTGTAGTTGTTGTTTTTAAATTGAAACCTCGTGGAGGTGGCTCTGAAAACATGGCCCCAGACCTCGGCCGCATTCACCAGCAAAAATGTGTCGCTGATCATTAATTTATTGTTTTCTGTTTAAAGAAAAAAGGGAAACCAAATGCTTGCTCAGCTTTTCCAAAGTTAATGGAAATTAAATTTCTTTGAATGTGAGTTTAATATAAATATTTGATTTTACAAATGCAGAATCGGTTTCAGTGCCATATTACATTTTTATACCCTTGCAGGGTAATATAATATTAGTCGAAAGCTTGCAACGCACTAAAGGAGTTATTTTGCGACCCTTTAAACATTAAATCTTATTTTATTTGAATTAGAAACTTACTTTTTATGATCTTCGAGCACATTGAGCTGGTGAATTCGGTTTTATATGTATATATATTTGATGTGGTGCAATGTATATGTATATATATTTTGAACAGGAACCTTTTATAACTTAGTTGAAGTATTTGCAGTGGTTATGGATAAAATGATGAAATATGCAGCAAAAGTAGAGAAACTTTAGAACTTGACTTAAGTTGGAAAACTTTATTATATTTACAAACTGTTAAAGGGACTATTTCAAATGTAATTACTATTTTACTTAGCAAAGAGCAATTTAATATGTATTTTTGTATTACAATTGTTTGAAAAGACAAATGTTTCAATTAGTTTTTGATAAAGAATTTTCTTCAAATCGAATTACATACTCATTTAATGCTTTCCAGGCTATTTAAAAGCCTTAGTGTTAAAAAATGCACCTAGCTTTCTATTTAGTTTTTCTTATTCACTTTGAATTTTGAATTTACTTAAATAACTTTGTACACATATTTGTGATTATTATATTTATAGAATAACTAATGGAGTAATAGCCAGAGTGTAGGGAAAAATTAGAATTCTGTTTATGATCTTTGAAGACATTGCCGATCCCAGGCCCTTCTCTTCCAGTAACCACCAAACCTTTTCTGGCTGCCGAAAAGCGTATCCAGAGCTTGTCAAATTGTATGCTCTGAATTTGAATGTTGCACACGATCCTCCAATTGAAAGAGTATTGCAGATTTTTCTGTAACATATTCATTTATTTTATTTCATTAATTAAATTACCATTAAAAAAAAAAAACGTTTATTCGACCTTGCTTAGTTTATGGTAGGTTTAATCTAAAAGACATGGGGCCTCGAGGGTCTCGGAACTCTCCGACTGCCTCTCGGTTTTAAGCAAGCAAGATAATATCGCACATCAAGCAGTGATTGATTGGTTTAATGACTACAAAAGGGTTTCCTTCTCATTCGTCGCTCGAGTTTTAATTAACAATACAATTTACAATGTATAAAGCGTTCGACTATAGCTAGGGGCGGGGAGTCAGGGAGGGGGCTCAGAGGATTATCGCCGGGGTAACTAAACCTATTGCCACTAAATGCTAAGAAGACATTTACAGGTTTACAAACTAAGAAAGTACGTGTGCTGTTCACAGACTAATCGGAGTGCGGATGCTGATTTTGATTCGGTTCCGCACGTGGGGCAGTGCTAGTGGGCTTGGTCGCCTCCTCTGATGCCGTGCTGGTGGTCAGAGCTGGCTTCGCCACCTTGGCAGCAGCGGGGGCGGGCCGATTGATCAGTAGCTTCTTCAGATTCTGGAAGGGTGCATCGAAGAGCACCGTCAGGGCCACGGAGGCCAGGAAGATCGATATGAACTCGTTGGTGTCGAGCTGTAAGTAATGGGTTGGTTTAAATTGGAACACGCAAGCGTAGGTAGAGCGGTCAGAGGCTCTCACAATACTCACAATAATCGAAACAAAGTTGTAATAATGATGAATGTGACGCCTTCGGCCGACATTGAAGAAGAAGACGGGGAACTGCGTCAGATAAATGGCGTACGAGAGCTTTGTGGACACCTGGAAACCGCGCCAGGCAAACAGCTTCGTAAGTTTATCTGAAAATGTAAGAGATTTATAATTAATTGGCATTTTATCCTATCCCGACTGTAGGGTAACTCACTCGTGTAACCATTATGAGACACAAAGACGATCCAGGAGAAGAACAGGCACCAGGCAATGGGCGCAAACGCTGCGTAAATGGCAGCATGTGTGGAATTATACACGTAGTTGATGTCACCCATCGGAGCAGGCCCCAGGAGCGAGGCCAGCACACAACCGGTGGCCACCAACCAGCCCAGCTTCAGCTGCAGGCTACTTAGCCTGGCACTTGGATACTTCCGGAGGACATAGCCCAGCAGGATGCCCATGATGTACACCGTGGAGCGATGGGGCGGGAACGAGTACATGTAGTCGGCAGTGCGGAACAGGCGCTGGATGCTGGAGGAGAATTGTGAGTCAGAAAGGATTTTATAGATTGATTATATTATTAGCTACTCACTTGGTGCCAAAGTATATATAATTCGAAAGCTGATTCACAATCGTCGTGTAGTATCTCGCCGCCGTGCCCACCGTGCAGAGGAGCAGCAGGGCCATGAGTCCCCGACGTGGCCACCGCCAGAGTCCGAGTATCAGAAGAGGAGCCACAGCAAAGAGCTCCGTGTCAATGCCCAGATGGTGCGTGTGCGTCAAACACATCTCGCTGAAGCCAAAGTAGTTGTGGATGAAGAGCAGGTTGCGCCACCAGTTCTTCTTGCAAATATCCGCATGATGGCCCACCACCAGGTTCCACTGGGGACCACTGCCCCACAGGGGCAGGACATAGGTGCAGAAGAGGATCAAGGCGGCCAGGGGAGGAACAATCCTACAGAGTATGAAGGAGAATCAATATAAAGTATACTGTAATATATATTTGTATTTCAGATATTACCTCATCAGGCGGCTGATGTACTCATTCTTCAGGCGGATGGGCTGCTGCTTCATCAGGCGACCGAAGAGCGAGTAGGCGGTGAGCATTCCACTGAAAAGCAGGAAAGGATCCGTATACAGGGACGCCGCCCTGCCAATCACCGTCCACGGCTGGCCCAGACTCTCGGACATGGCCGTCCGGTTGTTATAGGGATTAAAGAACATTGCCATCGATTTGTGCGAAAAGATCAGCATGATGGCATTGAGAAAGCGTATGCCATGGACAGCCTCAATGTCCCCGGGAGCGCTGCTCGTGCTGAACAGCCAGCGCAGGTTCTTGTCCAGCGAGAAGGCCGTGAACCAGGCATCTGTAAGGCAATAATTAGAAATTAATAATATGTGTTAATTATTTAAATTTCCCCAGAAAGTACTCACTCTGCTTGGGCTGCGACTTGGTGGAGCGATCGTAGATGGTGGACAGTATGGCCACGGAGAGTATCAGGACAAAGAAGCGCACGGCCCAGGTGGTGTTCCTATCCCAGGGACGTTGGTCCCGCACCTGGCACATCTGCGGCTCTACGCGGACGTTGAAGGTGATGCCAGTGGAAGCCGTCTGGTTGGACAGATACTCCGCCACGCTGTACTCCACATCCCGGGCAGAGCAGCCCGAGGGCACGCACAGACCCCAGTTGATCAGCGAGTAGCGAGGAACTCGGTGACCGGGCTGCAAATAGGAATACAAGATTGGATCCGGTTAGAGATAATTCTTGGCAATGACGCAGAAGGAGGAGGAGCAGCATTCCCTCCCTAATGGAAGTGAATCACGGGTGTTGTTGACCCCCTCGACGATGTTATTACATCGAGACAAAGGCTAGTTAAGCGAGAATTAAGGCAATTCAATTAAGCCAGGTCGCGCGATCTCACACCAAGTGTACTGATTGTCTAATTTACATTACAACAAAATTCATACAACGCATCGCTTTATCACATAAAAAAAAAAAAGAAAAATCAAAATAAATAAACAATAACAAAGAGCGGAGAACTTGTTTATTTCATCGAAATTTAATGCAAATTTTGAATTAATTTAATTTATGGAGCAAAGATTTGAAATTAAAAAATTTAATAGAAAAATATTCAAAGAAGCTTGAAGGAAGAACATGGAATTGTTTTTTAATTGGGAAATAATTTAAAGAATATTACAAAACAATAATAATAAAAAATTATAAAAGTAAATAAAATAAAACAAAAATTCAACACAATACCCCGCTCAACTTTAAGAAATAACAAATCCAACAACAAAAACCAAGTCCAATTTAGCGAATCCGCGATATGAAATTTCTGAAGTTCTACCAGGCGAACATAACATTCAGCAAGCAGCTATTCCGCTGATGCAAATGCTCCAAAGTAACGGTTCTTAAAAGATGGGAACGTGAAGATCGTGTCTGATTGGTCTAATCAGATGTAAACAAAGGGCGGCCATTAATGATTTTAAAGTCCTAACGGATCTTCGATGAGACGAACTTAAAGAAAGTCTCTGATTGGTCAATTCAAATGTAAACAAAAGACGGCCATTAGGATTTGGAATGCTTTAAAGCGCCGTTATAATTTGGCATTATCTCAAGACCCTTGCCGTGTTGCCCGTGCCCTTGGTGTTGTGCAGCTGAGCTGCTGCCAGCCGATTCTGTTTGCCTGGTATACCAATTGTTAAATTAATCCGATTTAATGCCCATATTTAAAAGAAATAACAACAAATCCAACAACATACACACTGAATTAACCAAATTCGCCATACAAATTTCTTAAAACTTGACTTTATACACCAGGCGAACAGAATATTCAGCAAGCAGCTAGCCCGCTGATGCAAATGCTCCAAAGTAACGGTTCTTAAAAGATGGGAACGTGAAGATCATCTCTGATTGGTCTAATCAGATGTAAACAAAGGGCGGCCATTAATGATTTTAAAGTCCTAACGGATCTTCGATGAGACGAACTTAAAGAAAGTCTCTGATTGGTCAATTCAAATGTAAACAAAGGACGGCCATTAGGATTTGGAATGCTTTAAAGCGCCGTTATAATTTGGCATTATCTCAAGACCCTTGCCGTGTTGCCCGTGCCCTTGGTGTTGTGCAGCTGAGCTGCTGCCAGCCGATTCTGTTTGCCTGGTATACCAATTGTTAAATTAATCCGATTTAATGCCCATATTTAAAAGAAATAACAACAAATCCAACAACATACACACTGAATTAACGAAATTCGCCATACAAATTTCTTAAAACTTGACTTTATACACCAGGCGAACAGAATATTCAGCAAGCAGCTAACCCGCTGATGCAAATGCTCCAAAGTAACGGTTCTTAAAAGATGGGAACGTGAAGATCGTCTCTGATTGGTCTAATCAGATGTAAACAAAGGGCGGCCATTAATTTCAAAGTCCTAAGTAACGGATCTTAGAAAAGATGAACTTGAAGATTGTTTCTGATTGGTCTAATCAGATGTAAACAAAGCGCGGCCATTAATTCAAAGTCCTAAGTAACGGATCTTAGAAGAGTCGAACTTGAAGAACGTCTCTGATTGGTCAATTCAAATGTAAACAACGGACGGCCATTAGGATTTAGAATTCTGAAAAGCGCCGTTATAATTAGGCATTATCTCAATACCCCTGCCGTGTAAATCACTTGGTGTTGTGCAGCTGAGCTGCTGCCAGTCGATTCTGTTTGCCTGGTATATCGTAAGCGTGAAATTGATCAATTTTATATTCGGTCTGATTAAATGAAGCGTAGTCGGGGGCGGGGGGCTGTTCAGATTTATTATTCTAATGCATACTGACATGGAACAATTTCCGAATTAAAATTAATGCTTTTATGACTTAGTTAAAAGTTCTTTACAATTTAATTTGTCAATAAAAAAGGTACGCAGTCAAGGAGTCATTTCCGACCCTATAAACCATACATACATATGTATATATTCTTGATCAGCTTCAACAAGCAAATATTTCTGACCATGCAGAAGAAAACATTTTTAGTAGTTTTTTAATAACGACTTGTGTTAAAATATCGTTGCAGGGTACTATACTTTCAGTCCGTACTTGCGGCGCAGTAAAGGACTCATTTCAACAACAACAGGCGAATGTTTTTATTTGCAATAAATATTTTAACCCACAATAAATAAAACTTGTGAAAAATAAATTCGACAAAATATGTAGTTTAACTTAAAGAAATCATAAGTCTAACAACAAAAAATAAATAAATAAAATTTAGCGATTTCGCCATACAAATTTCTTAAAACTTGGCTTTATACACCAGGCGAACAGAACATTCAGCAAGCAGCTATTCCGCTGATGCAAATGCTCCAAAGTAACGGTTCTTAAAAGATGACAACGTGAAGATCGTCTCTGATTGGTCTAATCAGATCTAAACAAAGGGCGGCCATTAATGATTTTAAAGTCCTAACGGATCTTAGAAGAGAAGAGCTTGAAGAACGTCTCTGATTGGTCAATTAAATGTAAACAAAGGACGGCCATTAGGATTTGGAATGCTGAGAAGCTCCGTTATAGTTCGGCGTTATCTCAATACCCTTGCCGTGTAAATCATTTTTGCTGCTGGATTGCTGCCATCTCTTTCCGATTCTGTTCGCCTGGTAAACCAAAAGTGTGAAATAGTGAATTTAAAGAATCGGTCTGATTAAAGAAAGCTCAGACGAGGGGCTATGAAGATTTATTATTCTGATGGAAACTGATATGGGAAATACTTCCGAATTAAAATTAATGTTTTCATGGCTTCAAACTTTAATTTGTCAATATACATTTTCATATAAAATTGTAAATAAATATCGGTTAAAGGAATTTTATTCTAATTATAGTCAGCAGCTTAAACCCATATACATATATACATATATTCTGGATCAGCATCTACAGGCGAAAAAATTTTTATATAAAAATATAGTTAATATCGATTAAAAAATGGTAATGGACCTTCAGTCAGAAGCTTAAAAATAAGTGAAGGAGCCATTTCCGACCCCATAAATCATATATATTCTTGATCAGCATCTACAGGCCTTTCTTTCTAGCTTTATCCGGCCGAAAAAATTTTTTTTCAGAAATTTCCCAATTTTCGGAAAAAAGGAAAGGGGTTACATCATGAAAATTTGCAAAAATCGGCCAAAAATTCACATTTTAAATGGAGTATGCAGTTTTGTTAACCTGCTAAAAGTTAACATACTGCCGCTTTCCGAATTGAAATTAATGCGTTTTTGGCTGAGTTATGAGATTTTTAAATTTTGATTTGTCGAAAAAATTCATTTAAAAATATTGTTAATATCGGTATAAAAATGGTAATGGACCTTCAGTCAGAAGCTTAAAAATAAGTGAAGGAGCCATTTCCGACCCCATAAATCATATATATTCTTGATCAGCATCTACAGGCCTTTCTTTCTAGCTTTATCCGGCCGAAAAATTTTTTTTCAGAAATTTCCCATTTTTCGGAAAAAAGGAAAGGGGTTACATCATGAAAATTTGCAAAAATCTGCCAAAAATTCACATTTTAAATTGAGTATGCAGTTTTGTTAACCTGCTAAAAATTAACATACTGCCGCTTTCCGCTTTAAAAATAAGTGAAGGAGCCATTTCCGACCCATAAATCATATATATTCTTGATCAGCATCTACTGGCCTTTCTTTCTAGCTTTATCCGGCCGAAAAAATTTTTTTTCAGAATTTCCCATTTTTCGGAAAAAAGGAAAGGGTTACATCATGAAAATTTGCAAAAATCGGCCAAAAATTCACATTTTAAATGGAGTATGCAGTTTTGTTAACCTGCTAAAAATTAACATACTGCCGCTTTCCGAATTGAAATTAATGCGTTTTTGGCTGAGTTATGAGATTTTAAATTTTGATTTGTCGAAAAATTCATTTAAAAATATAGTTAATATCGGTATAAAATGGTAATGGACCTTCAGTCAGAAGCTTAAAAATAAGTGAAGGAGCCATTTCCGACCCCATAAATCATATATATTCTTGATCAGCATCTACAGGCCTTTCTTTCAAGCTTTATCCGGCCGAAAAAATTTATTTTCAGAAATTTCCCATTTTTCGGAAAAAAGGAAAGGGGTTACATCATGAAAATTTGCGAAAATCTGCCAAAAATTCACATTTTAAATTGAGTATGCAGTTTTGTTAACCTGCTAAAAATTAACATACTGCCGCTTTCCGAATTAAAATTATTGCGTTTTTGGCTGAGTTATGAGATTTTTAAATTTTGATTTGTCGAAAAAATTCATTTAAAAATATTGTTAATATCGGTATAAAAATGGTAATGGACCTTCAGTCAGAAGCTTAAAAATAAGTGAAGGAGCCATTTCCGACCCCATAAATCATATATATTCTTTATCAGCATCTACAGGCCTTTCTTTCTAGCTTTATCCGGCCGAAAAATTTTTTTTCAGAAATTTCCCATTTTTCGGAAAAAAGGAAAGGGGTTACATCATGAAAATTTGCAAAAATCGGCCAAAAATTCACATTTTAAATGGAGTATGCAGTTTTGTTAACCTGCTAAAAGTTAACATACTGCCGCTATCCGAATTGAAATTAATGCGTTTTTGGCTGAGTTATGAGATTTTTAAATTTTGATTTGTCGAAAAAATTCATTTAAAAATATTGTTAATATCGGTATAAAAATGGTAATGGACCTTCAGTCCGAAGCTTAAAAATAAGTGAAGGAGCCATTTTCGACCCCATAAATCATATATATTCTTGATCAGC